CCTCGCTCGGGGGCTCGCAGGCAGCTGCTGCTGTTGCTGCATTAGTTTCCAGCCTTTAATACCCCCTTGACTGCAGCCCTTGGTATTAAATACCAGAACCATGATCAAATTAGCTCCAGAACAAGTCCAAGGGATTTTTGCCCTTTCGTAATGCGTGTGCTGAGAGCCTTTACAGCGGGTGGATAAACTGCCCGTGTCGTCCACGTGCTGATAGACCTGCGTGCTCTCTAGCAGCTGGTCTCTCGGCGCACGTTAACATCAGACTTTTTTTCTCCAGACTCCAAAAGCCGATATGTGCTCGAAGCTCGGGATGGATTTGAAGCGAACGATGCTGCTGCGACTTGCACGGCGGGATCCCAAACTGCATCCCGATGATCCAGCCAGGAGAGAGGCGATCTATAATAAGTACAAGGTGGGTGCCTGACCTGCAGTTCCTGCCCTGGTGTCTGCAGTGATGTTTATCGGGTTATTCTTGTCTCTCTGTGGGCTACTAATTTCTGTACTGATTGTTTACGAAGGTAAAAGCCTGTGGCTTTGCTTTGATCGAGGTCGGTGAAGGTTTGCAATAAGCACTGGTAGCAGCTGGCGCTGCCGACAGCGAGAATTTGTACTGGCGCTGCAGCGAGGAGCCCCGACTGCCTGTGTGCAGTTTGGTTTTGTGCAGCTGGTGATGGTTGCCGGCATAGACACACCACCAGCATCCCCAGTCTGTGGAGCTGTGCTGAGAAACAGCCCCAGAACTGCACGCGGGAGAGGCACAGCAGCGGACACGACTGATCAGAGGAAGCAGGACCCTCGCTAAGGGAAAAGGAGAGAAGGGAAGTGGGCCTTGGTTGCCAGAAATGAGGGAATGGTGGTTTAAGATTTGTCTGTAGTAACATTCTTGCTGGATCACGTGTTTTTGTGAGTTGAGCATAGAAACAATTTGTATCCTGGTCACCTGGAAAGGCTGTACCACCTGATCCTTCTTTTATCACAGGAATTTGTGATCCCAGAAGAGGAAGCTGAGTGGGTTGGCCTGAGTTTAGAAGAAGCAATAGAAAAACAGAGGCTCCTAGAAAAAAAGGTGAGTTCCTGAGGCAGCGCTTAGCACCGAGGTGTCTTAGCTGCACCAGGCTGCGCATCCAGCTGATCTTCTGAGCAGCCACATGAGCCCAGTTAAATTTGGGTGCCCAAAACACGAGGCTGAGTTAAAGCAAGTTGTAAAACCAGGTCCTCCAGTCAGAGGAAGAGAGATTTAGAGGGATAGCTTATAACTCCCACCCTGTTGCATGAACATCTTTGCCTTTGATTGCCTTCTGCTGTGCTTCTTGTGCTTTGGGACACACGGATACAAGCTCAGAGCTTGAGAGTCGCAGAGTCGGTGACCACAGCTCGCTTGTTAGAAGCGATACGCAGAGGAGGGTGCACCAGAGAGCTGCTGGGGCAAAAGGGCTTCCTGAGGTGGTGGGGTCTCTTGGTGACATTTCCCCCAGACCTGTTGGCTCCCGTTGTGGCTGCAGCAGGAACGGAAAGGTCAGGAGCACTGACGGCGTGAGGCGGTGCTGGGCCCTGAACCCCGTGGGGGTACGGTCACCCGATGTGCTTCGGTACAGCTCTGATTGAGGGCAAGGCGAGGAGGAGGGAAGCGTTTTTGGAAGGAAAGGGATCCCTGGGAGCTAGGGATGATTCTCATTGGCAAGCAGAACTGGGAGAGCTGCTGAATGTCCCACGTGAGTGCCTGTCGTCTTTGAGGCAAGGTGACAGAGCTGGGCAGCAGCAGTGTCTGGAGGAGCAGCGGAACAGGTTGTCTTGTTCAGCCACTGAAAAAAACCAAACAGTTGCTCCTTCCTCTGGGTTTAACTGTTAGCACTCCTGCAGCTCCCCAGGCTCCCCGTTACACTTCACCCCTTCCTGCTGCTCAGAGTCTCTCCTTTTCAGTGATTTATCCTCTGTTTTGTTTCAGGACCCTGTCCCGCTCTTTAAGGTGTATGCTGAAGAGCTCGTCAACCAGCTGAAAGAACAGGCGCTGCAGAAGCAGTAGAAGGAAAAAAACCTTTGGAGCAAAACCCCTGCTGCAGATCAAGCTATGGGGTTCAGCGAGTCTGAACCACGCTTGTGTGGAAGGGCCCACATGAAGAGCGTGCCCAGGAGCACGTTGCAGTTATTGAAGTCTAATGACAGCCTGAATTCAGTGAGGAGCCTTTCCTGTGGGCTGAGGAAAGAATTTCTCTCCTGTGGCCCTGAAAGTGTTCTCGTAAGACCTGACAACGTGGTTCTTCTGCCTGTACAAGTAGTTGGCTGCTGTTGAGAGCTTGATCGTGATATAAAACATGCATTTTGAGAATATCAGTAAACTTTTCTCTGATACTCGTTGCTCGTCGGTGTATTATAGCAGGGACTGCCAGACATGGTGGTGGTGTAGCTTAGATAAATGCCCAGCCTCCTGGAGCAGGGACGATTGTGCCCCGAAAGTGTGACCCCCCCCAGCCCCTGCCTGCAGCAGGGCCTGCCAGCAGGTGGGGCAGTCGCTAGCTAACCCGTTGGGTTCCAGAGCTGTTTCTGTTTGAACTTAGCGACTGTTAAACCTTTTATTTTGTAAAAATACTGTTGAAGCGGGTGTTCAAACCTTTGCCCCTGTCTGGCAACAAGGGACTGAACAGCGCTTGCCGTAATTACATGCTAGCAGAGAGCGCTGTGTGGTGTCTATAAGCCTCATGGTCCTGTGGTGGGTTTCTGGCTGGAGGAAAATCAGCCTCTCCTCCCTTTCCCTTCAGCGCTGAGGTGAGGGACAAGTGCAGAGCTTGCGGGATGGACCTCGTGTGAGCCGTATCTGGATTGTCGCTTGCCCTCGGAAGAGACTTCACCTTAACCACCTCGTGGGACGAGACATGCTCCCCCTCTCTAGCACGTAAGGGCAGGTGTTACTGTCTCTGAGCCACAGGACCCGTGATGAGAGAGAAACTGGGCTCGTGGAGCAGCATGTGGCTGGTCCCCTCTGCGCTGGAACGGAGTAGGACCACAGGGGAGCAGAAATTCCCAGTGCCTGAACGCTTGCCTTAAAGATTTTGGGGAGAAGTGTTGCGGAGGTGGTCACTGGGTAGGCACAGCGCCTCTGCAGGGCTGTGCTAGGTGGCTGGGGGCGAGGTGAACGCAATCTAAATGGTGATGTTCCGTGAAGATCGGACTTCTCTGCTGCTTTTTGGGCCAGGGAATAGGTGGGAGTCCTGGCAAGGGGTACTTGAGCCCCCAGGTGAGCATGGCACGGCTGTGCAGCCCCTGACTGGTAGGGCTGGTTGGTCAGGGGCCGCCAGACTGGGGCTGCGCTGTCTCTGCACGGAGGCTCAGGGCTGCAGGGGACAGGTTGGGTGGCAGAAGCTGGGTGTTCCCAGCCTGCACGTGTGTCTCGGCTCTGGCGAGTCCAGGTTCTCAAGAGCACACTGGCACAGAAGGTCACATTTGCCTAATTAATGATTTTGTAGCTAGGCCAGCACAATGACATTTGCTTATCTTCTCCCTCTTCTGCAACTGAGCTGAGCGGGAAGCTGCTGCCCAGCTCCTCAGGGACCCTGACACTCTGCCCTCGTTAGAGATAATTAGCTGGGACAAGCTCCTTGTTTGACAGCTCTGCTCATCATTAGGGCTAGCACAGCTCATGCATTTTAATGTGGCTCTGAGCAAAG